CTTTTTTTTTTTTTTTTTTTTTTTTTTTTTGGTGGAACCAGGGATTGAACTCAGGTCCTTGTGCTTGTCAGGCAAGTGCTTGTTCTACTGAGCCATCTCCCTGGCCCGGGCTTAGTCTGCTGAGCCATCTCCCTGGGCCCAAAAGTGTGCTCTTAAAATTTATTTTGTTGGTCTTCTGATTTTACACAGCAAGATATTTCACCACACACATGCTGTAGTCATATAATGGCGTCTGTTCCTTGGCAGAATGGGCTCTTTGGGCTGTTGGTATGCATATCTCCTTATGAACCTTGTATATAATCACTGAAATACAGGTTTAAAGAATTGAAAAGCACATTCCTTTGTTACTGGTGCTTATTGTCTACATTTTGGTTGCCCTCCCAGACTGATTTTCTGTGCACTCTGCTAGTTCCTTTACCCTTTATTTGGTACGAAATGTGTCCATCAGGGCCAGGGAAAGAATGAGGTGGCGCAGCTAATTGTTTTAGGCATCTTAAAGTTCTGATTATTCATTATTCAACTAGATTTAAAAATCTTCTATAAATATTACAATTTTATAATGAAAAGAACTGTTAATTACCAAGATTCCTCCATTTATTACCCACGGTACTCTAGATGTTTGACAAGTCCTAGTCTCTTAATATTTTAATGCTTAAATCGCTATTATTTCATTAAAAATAACAGTGATGTTATCTAAAAGTACAAAAAGATACTTTGTAATTTTGGAGCTCTTCTACCTTTTATTAGCCCCATTAAGTGTATTTTTCAGTTTTATTCAATAATATTAGTTTGAGAATACGTGACTCCAAAGTATGCATATCCAAAGTAGATACGCATCTACTCTTTTGGAATAAGCCAGTGACTTTTGCAGTGCTTCTCAATATTGTTTATTACACAGAGAAAGATCTTTTGATGGAAATGAGTCAGGTGTTTTGCAGACGGACAGACAGTTTTTCTCTCTGCAATGAAGGTGTTTTTTTACAAAATAGCTGCTTGCACCATTCATGTTAACTAATATAATGCATCTTAAACACAAAAGTATGTATTACATTTTCCTTCCTTGAGTGGAAATAGTTTTTTAAATTTGGAGATGTCTATACCTCATTTATCAAATGTCGCATTGTGTTGTTGAGGACTTGGAGCTGGGATGCCAGCCGTGCAGGAGCATGCGAGAGGATGGTTGCTGCCCATACGGCATGCACCTAAGCAATAGAGGAATTTACCTTTCAGTGTCTTCCAAGGCCCATGAGGATGCACACTTATTTATCCAGAGAGTATGGATCTCACACGTGTTTGTTCAGAAGGTGTGGCTCTGTGGAAGAGAACACTAATGGGTAAGTATCAAGCTGTCATTGTATTATGTTCCAGAAAAACACATTTAGAAGTCAATTGCTTTTAGCAGTGATAAAATCTCTTAGTCTGTGCTGGTTTCTCAACAGTGGACACTTCCAGATGTTGCAGTCAGCATAACAAGAGAAAAACCTAAATCCTGATAAGACTTGAGGATTGTTGGAAAATTAAATGCAAACTAGTTGGGGCAAATGTTGCTGCGGGAGTCAAGACTAAGTCATGCAGTAAGAAGAATGAAGCCCGGAGCTCTTCCTGTTCTTCCTTGCACACAGTCTGCGTGTGTGCAGACCCAGGACTTAATGACGTAAAGAGGGCAGAATTCGGCTCTGGAGCTAAAGCCAGCAAACTCATGCGAACTGGAATGTAAAGTGTGGCCCTCAAAATTTATTTTAATATTGCTTTGCAAAGTCCTTTCTGTTTCTAAATAAAAGCTATGCCTCCTGAAACCTGTAAGTGATATGTACTGGCCACACCAGATCTTTTTTGTTTCCCAAGTTCAGAGTTGTCACTATGGAACAAATGTTTACTTTAGAAGCAGTGAAACAAGGGAGGTGGGAAGCCAATTATTCAGAAGCCAATTATTGCGTCTGCTTTACACCTTAGTATTCCTTCTCTGTTCCTCTCAGTCAAAAATTTAGTTGAAAAACCTTGCCATAACATTTGTGTATGTTGTCCGAAAGCTCAGAACAAATTGAAACAGAGCAGCCACTCAAATATGTGGCAGGTTTTCTGGGAGTGCACTGTAGGACCGGCAAATGCCACTGCCAACTCTCCCGCCCTTCTGGGTGATGGCTGATGTAAGCCATCCCTTAACCAGTGGTGAACGGCTGGGTCGGACCAAAGAGGCGGAAGCCCTGCTTCCGAGTGCTTTGCATTTTGTGGGCAAGAGTTAAGCAGTAGAGTTGCCAGTTATTGGCTCACTGGTTCTTCATAAACTACGTCACTGCTCTTTCTTGTACTATACTTGTAGGTGTGTTACCACCCACGTGATGACTGGCAGTGGTTGGTCCCTCTGTCCAAATCAAGCAATGTGGGCTTAGGCTCTAAGTCATGATAGTAGAGATGTTGGGGTAGCAAATGGCAGAAGCAGCTCTCGTGGGCACGAAGGTGGGTTGAGAATGCACAACCATTTGAACCAGTTTTGCTTTCTCTATTTTTTATGGATCACCTTAAAAATCTCTTGAAGCCACTTTTTAGGAGATGTGGAAAAATGTGTGTAAAGGGAGACAACAACTAGAACAGCAAGTTTAGGTGAAAGGGTGTGAGCTACTTACTTACCCAGCAGTTACTTACCAGGATGCCTGCTGTGTCATGGGCGTTGGGAGTGTAGCAGTAGGCAGACGACAGCTCCTGTGGTCGGGGTGCTTGTGCTAGTTGGAGGACAGAGGCCACCAAAGCATGACTCTGCTGTTACGTTGGAGCGGCTATGAGTAAGCCGGTAATGGGGCAATGAGAGCTGGAGGCAGCTTTCAGTTTGAGATAATCAGGGAAGAGCTCAGGCAAAGATGAGCTGAGTGGAGGTTTGAAAGAGGTCAGTCACCATGTGACAATCTGGACAAAGGGAGAATTGAGGACAGATACTGAAAGTCACTGAGAGGACTCTGACTTTGAGTGAGAAGGGAAACATTGAAGAATTTGGATCAGAAAAGTGACATGATGTGACCCACTTCTTAAAAAGAATCTCTCATCTGCTGTATAGAGAATATACAGCAGGGGGCAGTAGAGCCACGGGCTAGGTAAAGGTTACTGGATTCATTCGATCCGGAGGTGATGGGGCCTGGCGGGGGTGAGAGTGTGAGGAGTGACGAGTGTCAGGTTCTCGGTCTGTTTGGAGGCAGACCTTTGAGGATTTGCCTAGTCTTTTGGAGTGGGAGAGTGAGGAAAATGAAAGAGGCCCCTGGAATTGTGGACGGAGCACTGAAAGGACAGACCTGTCCTGTGCTGTGTACGGGGTTGAGGACGACTGCTGGGAGCAGGTCCGTGAGCGTGGCGGCGGTTCCTCGATATCTGGGGCAGTGTAGACAGTGATGGCTGGATATGCCGTGCTCGTTACTGAAATGTTCGTTTTGCTCAGAAGTTGGTAAGTCAGAAAAACTTGTGTAAGTGACTGAAATCTCTATGAAGGTGGTGTTTTAATTCACATTTTGTATATAAGGAAATAACACAGAAAGATTCGTTTTTCTAAGATCACAGGGATAAAAGTTTATAACTATAAGTTCCATGATGTTCGTATGTTCTAGAAGCTTAGTTACAAAATAGGCTTGCACAGAAAAGTATAAAAACGAAGTATAAGAAGCAAAGCCATGTTGTTATATTGAGCTGGAGGGGACTCAGGTCAACAACTTCTGACATTGCCAGTCAAGTGGAAGACCCAGTACTATTATGGACTGCTGGACTATTTTAGAATATTTTGCTGAGTTCACACTCCTATAATATTTAAATGACGGAACTAAACAAAAAAAGGAGATACAGATGAATGTCCATTTTGTGTCTGTGTATTCAAAATGGTTGGGATAGATATATAGTTACATTCTCTTAATTCAGTGAATAGAGGGATTTGTGTTTGTAATAGTGTTTGTAAATAGGATATCATGTCTGCATCTTGTACAGCAGCCACTAGGAAGGCAGTATGCAATGTGTTAATTATTGAAACTGTCAATTTGATTTGAAACTACCAATTTGATTTGAAACTGTCTCATTGCTATTTGTTTCTCAATAATATTATGGAACCCTCCCCCCCCCAAAAAAAAAAACAAAATAGGCTTGCAAAGGGATCTCCATGATTGACTGAATGAAAATATTTTTGGCCGCTTTTATATTATACACACAAGTGCGCACACCAGAGACTTATACAAGTCTAAGTAATCTCTTCAGTGAGGTTCAGATTTGTTATATTTGATGTGTTGAAAGCTTATATTCTAATGTAGAATTTAAATTGGAATATACACTTAAAGTTTTAAATGTGATGGAATGGTATTAATATTTTTTTAATCAACATTTTAGGAATTCTTTTAAAATGTTTAATTCTTGGTAATTTATGTTCTTACCTGTCATTTGGAAAATATTTGCACAATCTTAAGTGTGTCCTTTTTTATAGTGGAATATGTAATTTTATTTTAAGGCAGAAATGTAGGTAATGAAAACACACGTGACCGATCGCTTGCGTGTTCATGTTGTTCCAGGTAGGGTGGCATCTGTCACCAGCAGTAGCAAAGGGGAGATGCCAGCGCACCAAAACGCCTACACTTGTTTAGAGGTTTATGTATTATTTATAATTTTTACCCATTAAAACAATGGAATATTATTTATTTTATAAATCCTTAAGACATTTAAGGTGCCAGTGGTCTGAGTTAAATTACTAGGGAGAGATTAATATAGTTCTCTTAAAGCGGTAATATTACATATTCTTTCTTTCTTTTTTTTTTTTTTTTTTTGGCGGAACTGAGGATTGAACTCAGGCCCCTGCGCTTGCCAGGGAAACGCTTATTCTACTGAGCCATCTCCCCAGCCAGTATTACATATTGTTAAAGGTCACATGCAATAACTTGTGGCTTATGACTGTGTGTGGTTTCTGTGTCCTTCGTTGAGTTTGTAAGTGTGGCTTCTGGCCTCTCACCGCTGTCAATAGCAAAGTCTTTCTGATCGCCCAGGAAGTCCTGCACGTTGCGGGAGTGGAAATGCAGTTGACGGCCGCGGCGTCGCTTCTGAGCATTCTGCAGGAAGAGTCGGTGTCGGTGCACACGTATGCGCACGCCTTCCTCCAGGTCATTCTCGCGCACCTGGAGCACAGGGACGCAGGTCAGCACCCGGCATGCCGAACCACCGTATGTTTCTTTAGGGTTTCTGGTAGGTGGGCGAGCTGTGGCTGGCGTTCTGCGGGCCTGAGGAGGGTTATTGAGACGGCCGTGCTGAGAGCGCAGCAGTGGCGTGGCGGAGAACAGCCACGTCTGTCCTTTTACAAAGGCCACGAAATTAAATGTCCTTGCCAGGTGAAGAGCGCATGAGTTCATCTTAGGATTTGATTTATACTTTCCTCTTAAGAGTTTTTCTTTTACAGATGTTTATAGTATTATCATACAGCGAAACAACACATCTTGGGTTAAAGATGCCCCCACATCACTTTTAAATTTATGAAAAATTTTTGATTTGGCTAAGACACAAAATAGAACTTCTTAGAATAGTAATGAAATAATTATATATGTTCTTGTCTTATCATTAAATGCTACTGTACACATTCAAGTCTGCACTGAGACCACGTTTGTGAGACCTTTAGCCTGTCACTCTCTGTGCCCGTCAGGTGTCAGCAGTGCATGGCTGGAAACGCTTCTGTCTGTGATCGAGGTGTTGCCAAAAGAAACCCTGAGGCATGAGGTAACACTGTGGTTTAAATTTTCTTTGGTAAATATTTTTTTTAATTTATTTATTTTTATTTATTACATTTATTTATTGTGTGTATGTGTGGCCAGCTCAGCCCACCAGGGGGCTGGTCTGGCTGGCATGTGGTGCTGGGGATTGAACCGCGGTCCCTGTGCTTTGCCAAGCTTGTTTCAAGTAGGTGCTTTAGACCATTGAGCCATCTCTCCAGCCCTCTTTGGTAAATATTAATAAGTCTAAGTTTTTTCTTTTGTCAAAATGGTTTTTGAATGCATAAAATTGTTTTCCATTCTGAAAGCAACACGTCCTCACTGTAGAACAGCTGACCAACGCAGGTAGTGGAAGGAAAAAGAGAGTTCCTGGCTGTGCGCTTGCACCCCTGAGGTTTGGACGGGCGCCTTCTCCTACCTGTGGTTGCTCCTGGCTGTGTTAGCAAGCATGTTGAATCTGTATTATCATTTTCTACTTAGTATTATTTTTCTGTTATATTAATTTCATTTGGTAGTAGCTGCAGAACAATCTGCTTAATAAAAATTCAAGGCTTTCAGCCTTAAAATTATCAAAATAAAGCATTCAGAGTATCTCTGTAGAGATTATACTGTAATAAAATAATTTATTTAAATGTAGAAAAGTAGAGTTACTGAGTCCGAAAGGGCATTAATATTAAGCTCTTGACTAGCAATATGTGAAAAGGCTACTTCTCTGGATTTTCATTAGCTGTGCTACTTCACTTTAATTTGTTGGGTTTTTTCTTTAAATGCACTTAGTACAGGGTCTGCAGGGTGTCACTATACAGATTGGACTCATAGTGACCCTCCTGTTTGCAGCCTCTCAAGTGCTGGGATTACAGGTGTGCGCCCACCATACCCAGTCTCAATGTCTGTCTCAGTGCGCACCAGGGATGGGGCCAGCATGACATGCTGGGGATTGAACTCTGGTCCCTTTGTCTGCCTAAGCAGGTGCTTTAATCTGCTGAGCTGTCTGGCTGGCTCCTTACCTTTTGATCACAGTTTATATATGCCACCAGGCTGACTAGATAGCTCAGTGGATTAAATACCTGCTTAGGCAAATACAGAAACTGGGGATCAATTCCCAGCCCCACATGCTGTGCTGGCCCTGTCCCTGGGCATGGTGGTGCATGCTTGTAATCCCAGCCCTGGGGAGGCTGAGAACAGAAGGATCACTACAACTCTGAGTTGCATAGTGAGACCCTGTATCACATACATTAAAAAATTATATATGCCATATAATAATGTCATAATGCCACAGATAATGTTAAATTTGCTAATTTTTTGTTACATTAGAAAATATATTATTGTACTAAAGCACCTGCTTATTAGGCAGAGCACAGCGGCAGTGCTAGCCATGCCCCCCAGGGCACCCTGAGACAGTGATTGAGACTGGGTGTGGTGGCGCACGCCTGTAATCCCAACACCTGGGAGGCTGAAAACAGGAGGATCACTATGAGTCCAGTCTACATAGTGAGACCCTGTAGACTCTGTACTAAAAATATATATATATATATATATTAGATATTCCTAATTAAAAGCTCCTAATTGTCAACATTGTTCAGTAATTCTTCTTGAAAGATTTTTAAGTAAATTAAGATGAAAGAATAAGAAAACTAGGAAATTTATCTTTTAATGAAATGATTTGCATTGTTTGAACATTGTTTATATATTTCTTTACAAGTATGCCATGACTAAAAAAAAGATCAGTTACCCATGCAGGAAATGCTCTGTGCTGACTTTATTAAGCGTCTTTGTCTTTTCTCTGTCCTCGTGCGCTCTTATTCTTATCATGGTGCCAAAATACTTGCTTGAAAAATGAGATTTATGCAGTTGTAAAAACTTTGATATACTTTAACTTTCTCTATGTGAGCTATACAGAGTGTGACATATATGTTTAGGTGATGGAAGAATTCACTGAGAGCTTTAGTTTTTGTTCCCTTTTTTTTTTTTGGCTGGCTCAGGGTGCCTTCAGGGTGGGTCTGGTAAGGCATGGGGAGCTGGGGATGGAAGGAAGGAACTGCAGTGCCCTGACTGGACTTGCCCCAGTACGTGCTTAAACAACTGAGCTAACTCTCAAGCCCCTCTGTTCCTAACTGTTTTTAACTGCATAATTTATTATCTTCAACCCAGAAGACAAAGCAAGAGATTTAGATTATGAACAGTCATGCTCTTCAAATTGTAAATAAAGTGGTCTTAAAGCAGTAAAGTAGACTTTGGAGAGAGTAGCTAGGCTTTTGGGGAAGGATGTATGTAACTTTGTGGATTTGTTCTCTGAATCTTTTTTCTTTAGATTTTGAATCCTCTTGTTTCCAAGGCACAACTGTCCCAAACAGTCCAGTCTCGTTTAATTAGTTGTAAAATTTTAGGAAAATTGACCAACAAATTTGATGCCCACACGTGAGTATTGTATGTAGTTTTGTCTCTTCTACTAAGTTAAGTTGATTTAATATGTAATGGCTGCAGGGTTGACTTTGTTAGATTTGTATTATGCCATACCACATTCAAGTTCAGCTTTTTTACCTTTCTGTAATCCCAAATAGAAATCTCCTCACTCAGAGCACTTCTCTTCCTATAAAAGATCAGTAAGATGGACTTCGCTTCTGCGTCCCGTCTTAGTCTCCTTTTTATTCCTGGTGTACTTTTGAGGAGAAAATAGCACTACAGCATTATTTTAGGACTTTCAGAATTGGTAAACATGACACAAAACTGGTATTTCTTCTCTCATATGTTTATTGTTATGAATTTTGTTATTTTGAAGATTTATGAACCATGTTTATAATTCAGATGCTACTCTGTTCAGATGATAAATAGCAAAGGAAGGAATGGGAATGTGATATGAATGTAGCAGGAGAGTAAAATAGAAAGTTGAAGAATATTTGGGTTGATAGTGGCTGGACCAGCGCTTTCCTTGCCTACTGTCTTAGCAAAACCAATCCAAAATTAACCATGATTTTTAATGAATTGTATTTGTAAATTTCAAGTAACCAATAACATCCAAATTTAATAATGCAGAAATATATTGTGAACTGTAAAGCCTTAAAGTGTATTGTTATTACTAAGATAATTTCTGTGTTTAAAGATAATTGTTTGAAAATACTAGTTGTTTTGAAACAGTCATCCATTTACATGTTTCTTTCCTCCCCTCCCTCAGCATCAAAAGGGAAATACTTCCTCTGGTAAAATCACTCTGTCAAGATGTAGACTATGAAGTTCGATCTTGTATGTGTCGGCAATTAGAAAACATAGCTCAGGGCATTGGGTAAGTATACTTTCAGTTCCTTCTGCCATAGGCCTATTTCTGAGTTATCAGACAAGCACGCTCTGTCCCTGCATTTCAGGAAAGCATGCTATTGAAAGGTAACACTGAGTGTGATCTTTCAAAATAATAACAAGGGCTTCCTGATGTGTCTCGTCTGAGCGATAAAAAGGAGTATGTTTAGCTTGGTGGTAGGCATTCCATTAATATTGATTTCTTTGTTTCTCACCTTAATTACTTCGTTTTTCCAAATACATTGAACCAAGAAAAATTGGCCTCCCAGAATAAGCCATGCTTTGGCTGTCCATTGCGTTTCTTCTGGTTGTCTCTCCTGGGCTCTGTTACTGGCTTGTTTCAGATGAGATTGCTCTCCTGCATGTCCTTCTGTGTCCCTGTGCAAGGTCAGGCCTCCCCCTCCTGTTTCTTGCTCTCCTTGCCCTTTGGGTGTGTGGAGCTCAGGAAGGAAAGGCCTAGGCCAGCCAGTCTGTTCTCTACAGCTTGAGCCACTCAGAGCTATCAGTATGATATTAAAGGGAATCTTAGCCCAAAGCCATTTCCTTGGGGAGTTTTTGTAAGTGATTCTAAATTGACAGTTTTAGTAGAAGCTGCACTGATTTCCTCTAGTTCTATGCTTCAGTTAAGCAGTCAGGTGCTGGTGCTTTGTACCATTGTTAATGTGTTAAAAACCTAGGCTAGGCTGGCCAGATAGCTCAGTGGACTAAGCACCTGCTTAGGCAGAGCACAGTGGCCGGGGTTTGATCCCCAGTGTGCCATGCCAGCCCCATCCTTGGGGCACACTGAGACAGCGATTGAGACTGGGTGTGGTAGCGTCCGCCTATAATCCCAGCACTTGGGAGGCTGCAAACAGGAGAATCACTACGAGTCTGATCTGTGTAGTGAGCTCCTATAGACCTTGTCCCAAATACATAATAAATAAAATCCTACGTTGATATTTAAGGCTTTGGGAAAGCGTTAGGCTGTCACACAAATTCAAGGCATAGGACTGTCCTCTGTCCTATGTCTGCTCTTACTAAGTAGAATTTAAATGTTGAAGCTTAATGGCTCAAAAGAGTAATTAATTCCTTTGTTTAGTTCTTAGAAAAAACTTTTAACAAGTCTCTAAATGTAGGTGATGCTATTTGGGTCTTTGTGGAGCATAATTAATTCAGCCTTTCCCAGACCTGTTCTTATCAGTCAGGAGAGCATACAGTTGCCTTAATCACTTTATCAAGATTTAGAATATGCATTTATCTATTTTTTGTCACCT